ACACAGGTACAAACGATAAAAAGTGCATGAAAATACATAAAAAACGAAAATGTACAGAAAGGACAGGGAGTTAAAAACTGATTGAAAGGACGACGTCACACAAGAGGGTTAGGAGAGAAGCTGAAGAGACAATCAAGGGTAGAAATAAATTAAGATCAGGAGGTTAGGAAGAGGGAATACAAGCAGTAAAAAGAATTAAAATGGATAAAAGGGCAGAGTGTGATAAAAGAGGAATAAACTGATTTGGAGGCGAGTCTGTAAAAGTGGGTGTTAAGAAGTGATTTAAAAGAGGTTCCTGATTCAGCGAGTCTTATCTCCTCAGGCATGTCGCTCCAAAGCCGAGGGGTCCTGATCGTCCTGGGATTTAATGATCAGGAGGGACCCACCTGAGGATCTAAGGCCCTGGCGAGCTTTAAAAGTGATCAGTAAAATCTTAAAATCAGTTCTAAAGCGGACAGGGAGCCGGTGGAGAGAAGCCTCAGACTCCAGCAGGGATCCAGCCTGTGTTCAGTAGCTGCCGGTCTGGTTCCTCTCCATTATGAAGCCTCATTATGTGGTTTCTTACTTCTTCAGACGGCTCCTTACAACGAGGAGCCATGTTGCTTTAGACACAGTCCACGGCAAATCTGAGAAAGCAGTGTGTTTAATTTAATTTAATGTGGTCGAGTCACTTCTGGGACCGAGATCGGAGCTAAAAAGACGTTTGCTGCACTGAGGTTGTATTGTGGGGCCAAAGGAGACTACGTCAACTGTTTCTTTCACTCAGGACTAAATCCCATGTCGCTGTCACGTCTCATGGAGCCCTTAATATCTTCAGGTAAATACAGACCATTTTTAGCCCAACCAGGTTGCTTTTTGGCCTCATCATTTCTACAGTATGTCACATAAACAACTCTAAAACTGTATTTAAAACTGACCATTAAAATCCTTATGTTGGGTTAAAACAGTTTGAATTGTTATTGATGGTACAGCTATGCCTGAAAATGATTATGTATCTCTGGAAAAGCTACGTATGATACCAAAATATTAAATGTTTAATTGATTGGTCTAAAGCAGTGATTCTCAAACTGGAAGATAATTTCAGGGGGTCGCCAGATCATTGTCAGAAGATAAAAATAAAGCTTACATTTATCAAATAAATGTGTATCAGGGCTGTCAAAATAAAAAGTGTGTACTTCATCCCACTCCTTTTTCAGACTTGTTAATATGATGATTTGATTATGCCATATTATTATTCTTTTTTGCTCTTTTTAAAATTGTTTTCTTTCGTTTTTATATTTATTTCCCTTTCATTTGTTTGAAATAAATTAAATTCATTCATTAATTCAAAATAAAATTGACGTTTTAATGTAAAGAGATGAATCTGCTGAATTAACACATTAATTTTAACGCATTGACAACAAAGTTATTACTCATGAGATATTAAAAATTCAAGCTGTGGGGTCATGAACACAAACTTATGTTATCTTGGGGGTCGTGGCTCAAAAAGTCTGAGAACCGCTGGTCTAAAGGACAATTATTATATTATTATTGAGTCTGGACTAGATGAGAGCAGAGACAGAGTCTGTCCAGTTCACTTTTAAACACATCAGTAATTATGCCAGGTTTTATTTTTTTTATATTTGTAGATTGTCATTTTTAAAACTTTCTCAAAAACCAAAACAAGGTGTGCTACAGTGTGGAGACCTGCTTTCAGTGTGAACCGCTGTTCGTCCAAACAGCTGAACTCTTTATTACATTTTTTAAATCACACACACAACAGAGTCGTCTATATATTGTGCTAAAATAATTCAAATTACCATTTTTTGTAAGTGGATTATTCATCACCCATTTTATAAAATATTTACAGCACACTTATGTGATTCATTTACGTCTACATGTTAGTTTTATTGCTGCCTCATCGTGTGTCCGTGGTGGGTTTATCTGGTGGACCTCTGCTCTGTAAAGCTGCTGATGAACTCAGTAGGACGTGTTCAGTGTTAGAGAGGTTGTGGGTTTGAGTCCTGCTCAGGACTACTGCTGCTTCCCACCTTGCAAATTAAAAAAAATATGACGAGGAAGTGTCTGTAAAATAACGACATTTTAACATATATGTTGAAACATATCACCATTGAAACAACTGTTTGGTGTAATTTAGATGTCAAATAAAATTCCACTTTTGAACCAGTTTTATCAGCGACTACGTGCCACTGAGACGTCGGTCCTGGTGCACCATGTAATGTCAACATCATTAGATATATTTAAATAATTGTCGGCATGTCCTCTAAATGACCTCAACATCAGCATAACATCAATAAAACATCTTTATGACATTGGATAGTTGACCCATGGGCTCAAAAAAAATTCAAACATGTTGCTTAAACAGAGGTACATGAAACCCAAACATGATTATGGTCCAGAGAAGTGTTCAGAGCAGCCATCTGCATCTTCACCTGCCGTCTGTGTGGTTATCAGCAACAAGTTAACGAGCAAAAAAAATGAAAGTTTGTCAGTGAAAATTTCCAACACAGGTTAACTAATGGTTGTGTATTCTCAGTGAACTAAACAGTGACATGAGCAGCTCCGTGTCACTTCTGTTTCATTGGTCTTCAGTACAGAATTATCTGCTTTTTCCAAAGAAATTCCCTTAAAATCTCAAGTTATGTATAAAAACCTTTCTACCAACTTGGCGCCCTGACACCCTTCAGCTCTAGTGGTTACAGATTGGCTCCCCAGCTGTGACCAGTGATGTCATACTGCCATCTGCTGGCCAAGAACCATCAGAAATACTGAACCTGTTCAGAGATGCCACTTGAGTTTAAAAAACTAAACTTGATTACTGTACTGCACCGAAGAGCAGCTCTCTGAGGTACATGTGATTGTACTTGATTTTACTTTGCTCTCTTTTAAAGCCAAACATTGGACTCTTCATCTAAAATAATGAGCTCCAAGGTGTCCCGGTGGTTAGAAGGTTGCTGGTTCGCGTCCCGGTGAGGACACCCGGAATCTTTCTGCGTGGAGTCTCCATGTTCTCCCCGTGCAGCGTGGGTTCTCTGGCTTCCTCCCACAGTCCAGAAACATGTTGAGGTTAATTGGTGATTCTAAATTGTCTGTAGGTGTGAATGTGAGTGTGCTTGGTTGTCTGTCTCTAAGTGTAGCCCTGTGATAGACTGGTTACCTGTCCAGGTGAACCTGCCTTCACCCTGAGTCAGCTGGGATAGACTCCAGCCCCCAATGTTCTGTCAAAAACCATTCAACCATTAAATACTGTACAGACAGATGATTATTTTCGTAGTGTACCACCTTTATTTTCACATACATACATTAAACATTTTAACAGGACGACAAACTACCACAGTCACTGCATGCAGGTACTTTCAACTTCCTGAAGCCAAAAAACTACTTTATTGTTTTACATTTTGTTTGTGAAGAAAGAAAAAAGCAGCAAATGAATAAAGTTCATGACTTCACTCCGTGTCGTGCAGCAGCCGGCCTCCCGTTTGGCAACACGCAGCGTTTGCATAAGCGCATGGCTTTATTTTATAGCATGGCCAAATCAACCACGGCTCTTTCAGGCACATCCACTACGTGGATTTCTCTCTTTCAGCGTTTTCGCACAGTTCCCAATTTAAAAAAGGACGTTTTTGAAATTACATTATATGCATGTTTTGTGTGCGAGACACTGATGTATAAGACGTAACTCTATCATACTGCAAAATCTAACCAGATGTGTTCAGACATCCGGGTATTTTCGGGTTAATGCACCGGGACATACTCAATCTTTTTCTGGCATACTATATCGTATGGGAGGCAAGAGCAGGTGGACCTTTGCAGCAACAGGCCGGCCCACATGTGCATTCAGTGCAAACAAAAGTGTTACTACCCAAAGAAAAGCTCTGAGCAGTGACGATGCAGACAAACGGCGCTCACTGCAGGTTAAAAACATGGTACAGAAGACGACTACAGCCACTTAAAAAAATACTCTGAGTTCTGACACAACTTTGAGATTCACGATTCTGAGTTTAATCCTCATTTTATGTTGGTGGAGAGAACAAAGCTGATTTGTGGACTTATTCTGATATTTGAAAGGCAAAACTCTTAATGACAAATCAGCTCAATCTGAGCCACAGCTTCACATCAACACATCGCACTGACGTCACTGATAAGAATCCCTAAAATGTGTTCATTAAAGACGTGTGGACGCCGGCTCTCTCACTGTTTCTAAATGATCGTAAATATACGTCAAACAGTTTTCGTAAGGTCCCAATCTTCTGCCAGAAGAGACTCCAGGCAAAGAGTCAGTCGTGCATTTTCTTCTGTCAAGAAATTCAAAGAGAACAAAACTCCCAACTGTCTGCGAACAACTAACGCCTCGCGTGTCTGATTCCTCAGGCCATCAAGCTCCAGTGTTTAAAATACTTCTTGCCAGTGCACTACTATTTCTGTTTCATTGACAAAGACTAAAGCTGTTTGAGGACATTACGGATCCTTGCAAAATAATAAACTACACATATGCAAACTGTAAAGCTTTACATGTTCAATGGGAACCACTGGGTTGGTTCAGACAGGTTAGAAAAGTCCGACTGGTTTGGGTTTAAACGGGGGAGTTGTCGACAGGAAAAAGAAAGAAGGAATAAAGCCATCGTTGTCTTTACAACATACAGGAACCAAATATTTTCTGCTCTGCTGTTCGACAAGATAAATCCTTTCAGTCACGTCACCTGCCCCAACAATAGATCCTTGTGAGAATTACGCTCAGAGGGAACGATAAAGGAAACGCATGTCGAAGCAATCCGACAGCTCATCTCTACTTCAGATGCGGTTAAAGTGAAGTTAACTGTTTGAGTAAATCCATCAGTGCGGGTGGTTTTGGTTGAGTCCCATCTCAACCAAAACCTTCTGGAAGGTTCGGTCCTGCTCACAGAACGAAGATTTAAAAGTGAGAAGTCGTTTCCATTTGTAAATGCCAGTGCTCCTGTTCTCAGGAATATTTCAAACAAACACCAACTCAAGCAAAGTCATTTGTGTGAAAAAAAGAAAAAACAAAAACAAAGCTTCATTTTCCAAATATACTACAGCATATAGAAATAAATTATTTTTCATGTCTTCAGTTCATAATCTACTTACATAAGCCACAGTTTTCCATTCCCTCACATGGGCTGTCTTCCTTCAGCACGACACTTTGTCCAGTGTTCAATATATATATATATATATATACAAAATCAAATGTACACAACTTCAAAGTGGCACAGGTAGGTGGAATTTTAAAGGAGAGCGTGGAGTCTGACAGAAGCTGGTTCGAGTCATCGGCAGCGCTCATGAGGACGCTCCTGCTGACGGCTCAAACCAACCTCCTGCTCATCACCACGGCTCAAGAGGACGGGAACGAGCATCGGGGGATTCACTGAGGACATGTTTAGTTCTGGAGTCGGTCAAACGTGTTGTTGGGAATTGTGACTTATCCTACTTTTACCTTTTTTTATTTGAAGAGCGATGAGCAGACCGTAGGACCCCTCCGAGCCATAACTCCCTTCACCCATGTAAGACAAGCAAACTACCCTTTTGATTTCTCCTCTTCTGCTGAGAATATTGTTAAATATTTCCTCTCATTAACTTCGACATACAGAAGTGTGAACCAAGCGTTCCTCTGGTGTGGTTTTAGTCTCTTAGTGGACGCTCCGCCTGCTCCTACTTGCTGTGGTGGAGGTACTGCTGGGTGAACATGTTGAGCTCGCTGTCCAGCCAGCCCGCCTTGTTTCTGGAAAACACACAAACACATCCTCGTCTCATTATCTTTGCATTCTCTTCACCAGTTGAATGAGTAGCCCTGACCCCATCCATAACCCAGTTTGAACCCTGAGATCAAATCTGAATCCTCGTTTAAATGGTTTGGTTCTCACAAATCCCACAAATGTAGAAAAACACACAGACGTTGGGCTTTAAGAGTCAACCGTGACAGCAGCCATCTTCAGAAAGCTCCTCTTTGGAAGCTGCTGCTTCAGCTGCTCGTGGATGGAAACGGGACAAACACAAACCTGTAACAACACTCCTCTGACACCTGCACTCTTTTACTTTTCCCAGGTATAATTTCCACAGCTTTGTGGAAAATTAGCTTCCAGAGTTGTTCTTTGTGCCGTAAATCAGGCTGTTAGTTCCCCACTCTGTGCTAAAGGAACACATCTGAACATGTGAGTGTGAAACAGACAGATGCAGCAGCAGAACCGACACTACTGGTGACGGACAAGCAGAGGAAAGATGAACTGGAACAAGTGCATATGTCCATATGTAAATGACTCCGAATAAAGTACTCCTTAATTCTTCGGCTTTTGGGGCACTTTTGTTTTTACCAATGTGGTGTAGGAGCAGGCTGCCAGTCTGTTCATGAGCTTGGAAGGACCACCAGCTTTAAAGGAAGGGACTCACATATGCTAACATGCATACACAAAGAGGGAGTGCGACTTCGTTCTCCACTAAGTACACCATTACTCTATGATATGTTTACATGGCACATAGGTGTTCGCTGCTATCTTAATGCAATGTGTCACTGCACCCTATTTAATGTAGGGTGGGGTTTCTACAACGTTGATTCTGCTCCCTACCACTTCACCGCTGCTATACTCCTCCAGAGGAGAAGGGCAGGAAAAATCCTCACGGAGCCCTTCCACCCAGGTCATCACCTCTTTGACCTGCTGCCCTCCATCAGGTCTCTGAGCACCAGGACATCCCGGCACCGGAGCAGCTCCTTCCCTCATGAACAGTCAGTAAACCACTAAAGACTCCTGTTGCACTACCGCCTGTGCAGTTCCTCAACTTCAGGTGCAATGTTGTTATTTAATCTGTTTCCTAATGCATTACTTGGTTTATGTCTCTTTTCATTCACGTAGTACCTTTATACTTTCCTTCTACATATTTTATTTAGAATTTCTTAGATCTAGATGTCTATATGTATTCTTGTCTTGTTATTGTTGTGTACCAGTCTCAAGCTCACTTGGCAATAAAAAGGCTTCTGATCCTGAACCGTCCCTCCGTCTGGCGGTTTACACACTGAACTCGGTGGGATACTTACCGCAGCAGCTTCGCCTTGCTCTGTAAGCTATCCAGCTGCTCAATCTTGCTGTTCATGTCAGAGATCTCATCCTCAAGGTTCTGACGAGTGATGTCTACCTGCTGGCAAAGCTGAGCGAACACACCTGCCAGCTCCCTGTGAAGCACACACACAGCAGGGACACAAACTGGGTTACAACACATTACAAAAACAGTCTGACAATGAAGTCATGTTAGGTCCTAAATGCTCTTTTTAATCACTGATTAACTTGCACCGAGATGGATAGTGCTACGTAATGCTCACTGCTGGACTTGGTGGCTGCAGTTGGATCCGGTGTAGCTGACGATGAGCTGCAGTTTCTCGCTGGCGTAGTCCACAAACTGTCTCTTGAAGACTCTTTCTTTGGCCCTGGTGGTCCAGGTGAGCCGCTCGTAGATGTAGAGCAGCCCGTACAGACCCACCGACAAGGCGATCAGACGCCAGCCCACTGCCTTCCAGATCTGCACAAAGGAAGGTGAAAGTCTGGCTGAACCTCCTCCTTTGGTATCTAAACACAGTGTGTCGCAGATTTGGACTGCAGGAATATGAGCTGCTACGACACGGGGTCAGCTTAGTAAAGATTACTGCTCATAATGGGTTGCTGGCTTAAAACAGGGATCTCCAACTCCAGTCCTCGTGAGCTACTGTCCTGCAGGTTTTAGATGTTTCCGTACTGTGTGTTGCAGCAGGGAAACTAAGTCTAAAACCTGCAGGACAGTCGCTCACGAGGAGCGGAGTTGGACATCCCTGGCTTAAAATGAATGAACAAAGTCACTACTAACGGATCCAGCAAGGGATACGTCGAACACGATTGAACTACGGGATGAAAACAAATGATGGAATGAATGTGAAGACGTCCATTATATTCACATATCTATTTGTCTTGGCTTTAAATACAACATTTTTCTTTACTTGCTTAATATTACATGCTTCCTGTTGCTTTAAAATAAAACTAAACCCTGTCACAATCTTTTAGATCAGCAAACACCCAAACAAAAACACAACTAAGCTACCGTCGCAACTTTTTCATCTCACCTTTTCCTCTTTAATCCATCACCTTTGACCATAAAACCATAAAAAAGTAATCAAGACTGATCCAATGCGTAGTGTCTGCGTGTACTCTTACCACACCACCGACCACGAGGACGCCCATGGAGGTGCGGGAGGTAAGTGAAGCGAGACCCGTCACCATGGAGACCATCAGCTCTTCCTGGGTCATGGAGCTTTGTGGGAATGGAGGCATGCTGGAGCTGACCGGAGTCAAGGCCATGGGCCGAGGAACCTGCAGAGAGACCACAGCTGAGGACGGTGCAGGGTGCAAGTGGTTCGGAGCGTCACGAAACAAGAAACCTAAAACAAGTTTGTGCAGTTAAAAAAAATATCCAACTTGAAAATGGCATTTGTACAAAACCTCACAGAACCACAGTTTAACAGAAGAATATGAAAACGTTCCTACATAATGGCCACCCATCGTGTTTTGAATCTATTTCGTATGTCGTCTGCCAAAAAAAAAACCTCAAGAGGTGAGATTTGATACTCTTGATTTTGCAGACAAACTTAGAGATATATGGAATGAGTCCTTCTAAAAAGTCAAACCAGATGCTTGATTGTCATGATGTCAAGGCACGGTTATCTTTGACCAGCAGGTTCTCCACAAGGCCAGGTCTAGAGACCGCATGAACCTTCACTTATTTGACATCTGTTCTGTAAGTAAGTAAACTGTGGGATCATGTCATTTGAGCCTTTCAGAGTAAGTGTGCTCTCTAGATGCTTCCCTGACTCATTCTCAGAAAACTGAAGAACCTGCTGGTCTGGGAAGGAGAGTTTCTGTTCCCGGAGGTGTTACCTGGTCGTTGTAGCCCATGAGGGCCCGCCGGGTGTTCTTGGGCCCGAGGAAGCGGTTGACCAGCATGGTCCAGCCCAGAGAGAAATGGAAGCTGATGTCCTCCTGAAAGTCGCTGCAAAGCTTGTCGCAAGCCAGGTCGTAGCTGAGGCTGAAGCACTGGCGAGGAACGAGCTTGTCGACCTGCTCTCTGACCGAGCTGGGCAGCAGAGGCTTCAGACCATCTGCACACACACACACAAGGACAGCAAAGACTTCAGTATGTACGTCTGGATGAAGACTGTATATTCAGACACACAGTGGAGTTAGACACAAGTTTCCACATGAGAACATTATTACATACAGACAAGTGAAGTAAAAGTCTTAAGTCACAAATCTACAGTCACATACGACAGTCAACCTCGACAGTGTAGCACATGAAACAGGTGGGTATTTGTGGGAAGTTGCAAACAGGACTCGTGTTACCGATCATGTCAGTCTGTGTGGCCTGCAGGGCGTTCGTGATGGAGGTAGAGCACCTCTCTGACATGTTCTTGCCCAGACCGTCCTCTATGTGCCGATGGAGTTCCTAGAAGAGAAAAGCAAAACGGTTGGAGTCTCCTTACATGTGCATCTACAACACTGCTGAAAAAACAGACCTGAAGCCTTAAAGGACTCCAGACTGAGTCAATGTAAACTGCTGCACATCAGCTATGTTAACAAGACGGACATGAACCCGTGTCTCAGCTGTACTGTTGCTCCGTCCTTCCTCTGTGGTCTGACTATGAACCAGTTCTTGTATCTCTGGTTGTGCCATAAACAGCTTTTCTTTTTGTACTCTTGTATGTACATCTTTTTTGGGCCACTTGGTGACTCTGTCATGGACTGTTACTCGTGTGCTTCTGGTACTCTGTATCCATTGATTTGTTTTAAGGTCTCTAAAAATGAAAACTCCCTCAATAACATACACAACGTAATAAATAAGACATGCAACACTATATGGCTGGTGTATAATTTGGTTAAACAGATTGTATTGGTCTATTTTGTGCCATAGATGAAAGTCATATTTATGGCCAATTATTATTATGAAGTAGAAAACGATCAATTCCAAAGAACATCTTAAAACTTAACACAAGGTGTCATTTGTATATGAGGCAACTTCAGGTATGAGGAAAGTGATGAACTGCTTGTGCATACGACGTCAGGATGTTGTTTTCCCCACTTGAGAGGTCCATAATGATTTAAGTGCTTTGTGTCTCAAACCCTGTGTAGATTCGGTGCCTCTGTCAGGTTGAGGTTTACAACTATCAGACTTTGGGCTTTGTTGAGGAGAAAGAAGACATGTTTGTTCAGGTCATTCTGATCTCATGTTTTCTGACCAGACATAAAACCTGTAACCCCGCTGCTCCAACGAACGCTACAGGAGGTCTTTCATCCCGACAGCAATAAGACACTTTAATGATTCAATCTAAGCACATTTGCACATTTCTGTTATCTCTTATATATTCTTGTGACTTTGTTGACTTTTTCTATATCATAGGTTCTATATTTTTATCTTATTTTATTTTACTTTATTTAATTTTCATTTTATACCCTAATAGTCTGTGTTGTTGTTTTGCTTGTTTACACCCTTTGTTGAATAGTCATGCTGCTGCAACACCTGAATTTCCCTCTGGGATTAATAAAGTCAGTCTAAGTCTAATAGAAAAGTTTAGGCAGGAATTGCATTTTTGGCACCTATGCTCATTAAATGATGTTGCAGAGTTGTGACTCAGGCTGGACTGTTCTTACATAACATGAATTCAGGGATGAGCAACGGTAAAGGTTTATTTGTAGCATGGCTATACATTCAGGATAAAATGCTTTGTCTTTAGGTGTTACGCTGATTACTGGAACCGTGTTACTGGACGACAAAGAGTAAAACAGATGCCAACATCGTTTATTCTGACAGTGGTGATTTAATTAGTCTGTGTCTTGGCGAGCATTCTCTTTGGTTGGCGCATTTTGACAGGGGTGTCTTTTGACTTTTTTTTTACTTTGACTTTGGCCTGTCCCATGCAGCTTACATGAAGAATCTGTTGAATATATATAAAGGTTCAACTCACGTTCTTGTAAACCTTGAGCACCACTGGCGACGGGTGGAAGTCCATGCGGAAATCATCCACCAGGACGTGGAGCTTCCTGATCTCTTCTGCCATGGCATTAGACACCTGAACACGAGCAAAGAGCATCAGCGTCTGTTAGGCTTCTTTCGTGACACATGTTGAACTTTTTTGGGTTTTAATTGTAAGTGGGTAAATTATTACATCCCACAAGTCTGTCGCTTCATAAATCTACTGATTCAAGACAGAACCGTAGCAGCTGGGAAGGCAGGTTTAGCAGAACCGGTGTGTTATGACGTCACATTGCTGTTCACCTGTCTCTCCACCTCCTCGGTAATCTTCTTGATTTTAGCTTTACAGTCCATGGTTAACAGGTCCAACTGCTTGTCTATGAACTCCAACCGGTCCTGACGGTCCTCTTTGGTGTCGAGGCAGTAGACTCTGCACACACACACACAGACACACACACACCATTAAACTGGAGATGGAGGTCTGTGCATATCGGCAGTGACTGATTTTTACAAACTAATGGCACATGCTGACCTACTGTTGGTCAGACTCACCTCTGCTCCTGTGCAGCAATGTGTACAGAGTCCATGATGCGGCGCAGGGCTTCAGAGATCTGCTTGGCCCTGACCGTGTGCTGCTCAAACTTTGTCTTCACCGCTGACTGTGAGATGCACTCCTAAACACGGAAACCGGCAATCCAAACATCAGGTCAAGAAAAAGAGGTGGATGAATCCCTGCTGAAATAACTTGACAGCTCAATCAAGCTGTTTTTCTTAAACTCTTAAACCAAATATGCAAAGTGTCCTGAAATGACTTCAGTTATGAATATGGCACGATACAAATAAAACTGTATGGAAAACGTATTGAAATAAAAGCCGAGCCAGGCCTCAGTATCACAAGTTGATATTAATTTTCTAAAGAAAGACTAACATTTGCAGGGAAACATGCTTGTTTGCCATCTTAGCCAAGTCACCTGCGTCCAGGTCAGATAACATCCCCAGAATATCTTTAGCTGAGCTCTGCATGAACACAATGAAGCAGGGGGACAATGGTAGCCTGCAACCGGTGTTGAAGTGTTTCTAAGAAATGTCTGAGGTGCGTGAGTCAGGTGTTATAATAAATAACAGAGACCGAATTAAACCACGAAAACAAGAACAACAGATGAACTAATGTATAGATGTATCAGTGTATTCCAGTCGGTGACTTGCTAAGATCACTTAAAATCTTGTCCCTACTTGTTACACCTACGATGATCTTACCTCAAATCGCCTCTCAAAATTCTGGAACTCAAACATTCTGGCTTGAAATCCTTCTGCAAGAGCTCCACCTGAAACAGAAAAAAAAAATTGCTAGTGGCTATATGGGATTTTTCTTAATCTTTTTTTTTTTTTTTGTCTGCTGACAGTTTTATGGGATTTACTATTAATGACAATGAAGCTGAAGCTAATAGCACTAAACCCAACAGGAGTAGCCTGGACAATGTGCCCACAATTCAAATACCACTCAACAGCAACTTGAGGATCTCAAAAAAAAGAGCTTAAGGAGTTGATCTGGCCTCCTCAATCCTATCAAGCATCACAGCAAGAACAACACTAATCCACAGAAGCACCACTCGGATCTGCTGTCAACGTGCTGGTGTCACACTTCCCAGAGGTTCTACGTCCATGCCTGAGCTGTTATAGCAACACAAAGGGAACCTAATGTAGCACATACGTGTAAACCTTGCCCTTTTTTCCTAAATATTTTCAAACTTTTTGTGGTTTCACGTTTGAAAACCAGTTTTCATCGCAGTCCTGTCAAACTCTACACTGATCACTGTTTGTACCTGCTTCTGGCATTCCTTGAGCCTTCTGCACTCGAGCCTGGAGAACCTCCTTGGCAGATACGAAGAAGATGCGGTCGCTGGCCTGGGCTCGGTCGACCAAACCCAGCTCATCCACCAGGAAATTGGTGCAGCGATCCATGTGCTGCCTGCGGACCTGACAGAGCAAGAAAACGCTTTAACGAACGTGAATTGCAATGATGGATGCAGCTGAGGATAAAAAATCTGTGGGGACGCAGCTTCTTTGTTGACACCAATGACTGTGAGCAGAGGACACAGTCTGGTTTAGTTCAGTATTTTAGCTGATCACTCCATCACTTAGCAAATAAGTTAAGAGCAGCAGAGAAAACCAAAATGGGAATTTTACGTAATTTTATTTTTTGGCCTTTGTGCATTTATTGGATAGTGTAGTCAGAGAGAGACAGGAAAGTAGGGGAGAAGAATGGGGGAACGACATGTGGGAAAGGGTCATGAGTGGGATTCGAACTCATGACCTCCACATTGGGACTGTAGCCCTGCACATGGGACGCCAGCTCAACCAGGTGAGCTATAGCGGCGCCCCCCGATATGGGAATTTTAAACAATGCTGCCCCCCTATACACACACTGACATTTCTTGAGCATCTCCTAGAGGCAAAATACGTATTATGCCGCACTTTCTGAAAATCTGTTTATCTACAGACAATAGCACAAGTTGCTCAGTGACATGCGTGACCCAACTACCACAAACATGCCGTACGGTCTGCCGTATGAATGCAACACTCAGCAGTGAGGAAGCAGCTTTCGGTGCTTGGAGACCCATAAATTAGTATAAACCAAAAACAAAACTTGATCGGACATCCCTGCAACAACAGTCACATACCAGTGCTTTATGCATACATCATACAAAATACAAATATGAATGCTTTTCCAATGTGAAACTGACTAACCTCCTCCATATACTCAGGCTCTGAGGCAGACGCATCCCAGCGGTTGTTGAGGATGAAGATGTTGGGACTGGAGAGCCGCTCGTTGACTTTGTGAAAAAATGACTTCTCCTGTAGAAATAATTTGCAATCGTTTAAAAGGGGGCATTAGCTGAACTTAAGGTGAACTTGAATCACATTTCAATTCCATCAAAAGTCGTGCAGATTATTTCAGTGCTGTCAATACAATTCATTCAGTTCTGACAGCTTCTGGATGAAGCACACAGCAGTCACAGCTCACCGTCTGCATGAGGGTCGACTCAGAGTTGGCTACCAGAACAAACACATCCGCATCCAGGCAGAACTTGTCGATCCAGCTGTCCAGCTCTGTGGTGACATCGATACCTGGGCTGGAGGGGGAAAGTAGAATAAGCCAGCGGTCTTCAACCTTTTTTGCACCACGGACCGGTTTTAAGCAAGAAATTTTTCTACAGACCGGTCATTACGTACATAACAAATAATAATAGTTTTTTTTCTATTGAAAGGTTCATAAATGAATAAAATTAATTTTTATTGCTTAATATGTTTACTTTTTCTCTGTCTCAGTATTAAGTCTCTCCCACTTTCCAAAGCAGCTCTCCTGAGATGTTTGTTTTTGACTGACGGCTTCGTTTAGCAGCCGGGCATAAAAACTGACAGTCAAGTGCGGGAAACGAACACAAACCGAAGTGACGGGAAGACAAGCTAGTCATTTTTCAAAATAAAACACCCTGCAGACTCCGCTGGAAATAAAAATAAACCAATAAAACGTTTTTATTCTATCTGTGCGGCCCGGTACCAAATGACCCACGGCCCGGTGGTTGGGGACCGCTGGAATAAGCCACTACTCTACAAGAGACAAGTGTCTGGCATCCTCCAGGCTGTCATTGTAAGGATTAATGTCTTACCTGGTAAAATAAAGATTTAATGACATGCAAAAATGAAATGATCTTCCTATACGGTGTGTCTGGCCACTTTCATAATGGCTACAACTACATACAAGCCCCCTCCCAAATCGGTAAAGATGCTGTGACTGAACCCAAAACACAGCAACACAACTGGGGTCTAACCTGTCCAGTAGAACCAGATCATCCCTTAGCAGAGCGCACTTCCCTTTAGGCCACATGACACAGACCAGGCTGCCTGCATCCAGGTCCTCGTCCTGGTGGAGAGCATGAGCCAGCTGGTTCACCGTCTGCAATCACACACGCAACATCAGCATCAGCTTGGTCTTCATAGACAGCCGTATCCCACAGAGTGGAGTCGTCATTTTGTGATGGACAAAATCCCTGTAGGTGTTCTGACCTTTATGCTCTTCCTCTCCTCAGAGCCTTCGGTGAGGAGGAAGGCCTCGTTGCCGTCCGTGCCCTCCACCCTCAGGAAGCAGTTGGTGGTGTGTCCTATTCCGGACGGCAGAACCTTATCGCAGAGCATGGCATTGATCACGGAGCTCTTCCCGTTACTGGTCCTGCAAAAAAACATGTAAGAAGCCTGTCAGCAGCGTCTCAGGCCTGTAAACCTGCAGTCTTTCAAGTTAACTTAAATCTGCTTTAAAGGACTCATATGGTTTTTGCCGTAGTTATAAACTTTGAGGTATAAAATAAAAGCTGTTCGGTTATGAAGACATTTACTTGTGCCATTCCTGAACCCCCTGAGGACTGAGCATGTGACACTTTGATTTGCTAAAAATATATAAAATGCAAATTTAACATCTTTTTTCTAAAATATTATGGCTGCAAGACAATTTAATAATTCTTATTACTCAGTATAGCTAAAGGTATGACTAGACAGCGTGTAAGCAACACGTATACATACCTCCCAAAGAAGACCACCTTCATATGACGGCGGGCCAGAACTTCTCCAATCCCTGCTACTTTAGCAAGGTAACCCCGGACCTCCTGGACCTGCTCCTCTGTGGTGACGGGGTCCAGCTCTTCACTCTTGTAAGCATCTAACATTTGAAGATCATCGGACAGACTTTAGTAAAACGACGGAAGCATTTCACATGTACAGAGGAGTTTTTTTGGCCAAAACGTAAATAAAATGCAATATTCTGATTTTCATTTCCACATGCTTATATGGGCATTCAATGAGCATCTTAAAATGAAAACAGTATTTGACATTTCATTTTCACAGATGTAACCTAATGTACTCTGCAGCTGGCAACAGAGAGCCACCGCAAGGGAAACGTGAGACAACCCAGGCCGGGAGTAGCTGGTTAGCAGCGGCTAAAGTTGCTAACGATGCAGCAAGGCGTGAACACAAGTAACTACATGCAGTGAAAATATTAATCACAAAATCAGAGCAAAAACAGGATGTTGAGTTCAAGTAACAGGCTTAGTGCCCAGGCAACCATATGGATACTAGTTTAAATAAATCTGTAGATGGTAGGATATGATCTTTTGACAACAGGTGGAGAGGAAACTAATAGCTCACACTTCACATACTCTTTTGTTTCTGAGCTAACACATGTTCAAGCCTGTGCAGGTGCAACATGCTGACACAGCAAAAGAGAGACATGCATTATTTCACCTCACATGCCCCTCTCTCCCTCCCTCCCTCCCTGGTGAGACATTGTTCCCGGCCAGGCACACTCCCCAGTGACCAGGGCTACCCCAGGTGGACAACACACCTCACCACATCATCAAAACTGTTCAGCTCTAGAAACAAGAGCCCAACACGCCGACGAAGCTGATGAACCATTCATGGGACGTGTGTCACGATACTAAAATACTGACTTTGATACAAAACCTGCTTACATAAATCAATACTCGACATTGAAACAACACCACAGCAAAAACTTAAAATATCAGGAAAAGTAACGGAATAACTGAAGAAACCATTTTGGTTTTTCCACCAGTTGAGTGGGTCCTCGGAGGCATTTATCTTTCATTTTTTTGTACACAACTTGCAAGGTTGCCAGTAATTTCTCAGACACCATCGCTTCCAGGGCTTCATGGAGACTGCTGGATGTATGATGTGAATATAAAGCTGAACATCCTAAACGCCGGGACCGTGTCCTCCAGGATTCAGTTATATAACGGACTGTGACTGCACGTCCAGATGTCAGAGCACAGAGATGCTGCTGTGGGAGTTGTGCTGGAGCAACTTCAGTGGTCTCGTTGTGCAGCTTTGAGGTTTCACTACACGTGAACTGTTTCCTCCCTGGCGTCTCGTATCTTTGGCTCAACAGCTGCATCGGGTTCCGAGTTGTGACGTCCATTTTTTTTGTTCTACTGTAAATATTGGCGCCTGATCAACACAGATAAACTCAGCGTTGTTTAAACTGAGTGGCTGTGTGGGGGGAGGGAGACGGATAAATCACGCTCACGTTTCAGTTCCTTAACACTTGAATTTTGAGTTTGAAAAGCCCGTGTAGATTTTTGAGAGAACCTCTTCTCACTAATCTTCATTTCTAAATGGAATTTGGCTAAAGACACATTTTAAAGAATGTGTACTGACTTCACTTTTGTGTTTAGTCGACTTTAGCGTGCAGACTAATGATCCTGGGTTTGAGCTTCATCGCTACGCAGCGCCAGACGTATGAGCAGTGAAATTGTAGTTTACTGTTGTTCCCTGTTAAATGTCTATTTTCTTTAAGTTAACTTTATATTTTAGATTCAACAAACCGTCTTGGTAGGTCTCACTTTGCTGAGTGCATTTTCTAATAACAGGAATAATTATTGACAAAACAAACATGCCGTGTTTTGCATGACAACAACAGGCTGACAAACGGTTTCTACTCGTGGTCCATCACACTTCTGAGCTCAAAACAACAACGCACAGTGTCACTTTCAATAACGCTGCTTAGGTGCAATCTCCTGCCCGTATTCATTCTATTTTATTGGTTTTTATTTGATCTCATTATCTGTATATATATAGATGGTATCTTGAAGACAGAACATCAATGCACACACATGTTTAGATGTATATAACTATCTTACAAATATTAAGAACAATTCACCAAACCAGCATCTATAAAACTTCATTAAAATTAGATTGCACTGTTGAGGATGATTTGAGTTTATTCACTGTACACAAAAAGTAAAATTAAAGCAGAATTACATGAAATGTTTGGTAAATGATTTATGAGTCATTAGAAGTCATAGATATTGTTTTACGTTTACTCGTAAATTCAGCTCCAGTACGTTTACCAACTGAGGTTTTCTTCACTCGGTAGAAAAACACTGAAGACGTTTTTAGCATATTTAACATCAGTCACAGAATTGAGCCGTTAACGTTTAATTTCTTTTCTTTTGGAGCCATTCAAAGCCCCATGTTATGATTTACATTATCATTTATTTGCTATCTGTCAACTTGAGCAACACGTTAAGAGAGTCTGGATGGCCAGCGTTCTTTTTGTTTTCTCATTACATCATTAATGACACTTGAACTTGGAATTCCATATAAATCACAAATTTATCTTACTCGCAGTGAAACAGAGAGTACTGTCTATACCTTTGCTCTCAAACCTTTTTTTTCTTATTGTAAACCTATTCTGTTTGCATGATAAAGAAGTAAAACTAACTCCACACTTGTTCAGTACTCAAGTTAATATAATGGGACTGAGTTCATCCTTGTTTTGTGTTTAAACTAGTGACACAGAAACGTTGTCGTAAGATAACTATTATGTGAAACGACCAACGATTCATTCAGCATGACATTCAAATTATATAGATTATACAAAGAGGGTTAGTGAGTACTTGGCAGGTGAGATCGTACCTTCCAGAAATGAAGCACTCTCCTTGATGTAGGCCCCCAGCTGCTCGAAGATCCCGTTGATCTTCTTCTTCGCTGTGACAAAATGCTTCAGCGGCGACGCGTTCACTTCTGCCATCATTCTCTTTTCCTTCTTGCCGTGAAATGGGTTCGTGTTGGGTCGTGGGAAAACCAGAGACATGGCACTGGACGGAGGACAAAACATCACAAACAATTAGAATCGTGTAACCGAAAAGGGTGGTGAAAGAAAAGGAGACGCAAACATTTACAGAACAGGTGGCACAAATGCAGTTTATTTTATACACCTTGTCACTGCAAGTGTCCCAATTACAGCCCACAGGGGTAAATGGTGCATGTATTGATCTGAATCGAGCGCTACATGACGTCCAGTTTGGAGGGTGGATCACAACCAGAAGCGGAGCGTTTTGCTGCTGCTGCAGCGACAGACTGCACCGACCTGTTTACGTTTTTGTCTCCACCCAAGGAGACAACGGACCTTAGATTAACTGATAAAAAACAAGGTGCAGCCCTCATCAAAGTTATGTATCTGAAGAGTTAGAGTTAGCGCTCTCTCCTAATGGTGCTGGTTATACTGAACAAGACGTAAGCTAATTTAGTCGTTAATAATTAGGTAGCGTTTGGATCACCCAACAAAATAAGCATTACGTCAGAAGAAGTACAGATAAGCCACCCATAATGCAGATACTGTCATCGTCAGCTAACCTACAGGACAAAGTAAGGACCTTGGATTTGTCAGGACCCACAAACTTTGTAGACAAGTACGTATCCAAGGTTCTTGTCGGCCCTAAATGCCACCCACAGCTCAATGTCCCCCTCCTTCACATGTGGAGTGGTGAGGATCACTACATCCGTGTCCACAGTTTGCAGGGCGATCATCTAAAACCCTTTTCTTGTAGCATCTGCTGCATTGAGGAGAATCATAGTATCTGACCTTCATACGAGCAACAGGCAATCTTATCTAATTCTTGTGGGTCCGTAAATGGACAGTACTGTTTGGTAGTCAACATTTGGACAACAAAACGGTTTCCTGGAAATAGATGAAAACAAATCAGAGCTATTTTGCTTTCTGGTCAGGAAGCTTGTGGAGTTGTTGACTACAAAACATTAATTAGGACTCCAGGGACTGAAGAGCTTTGAGGTCACCTCTTTGAGTAAGCCAGTCCAGCCCTGAATTGTTATGGTAAATGCTAAACGCACTTATATAGCTTTAATCCAAAGCGCTTTACAATGTGTTTCTCATTCTCACACACATTCATACACCAGCTGCCATCCAAAGTGCTGCCTGCCATTGGGAGCAACTTCGGGTTCAGTGTCTTGCCCAAGGACACTTCGACTGTGGAGGGGCGGGGGATTGAACCGCCAACCTTGCAACTGGAGGACAACCCGCTCCAACACTTATGTTTGGGCTGCATGGTGGGAGCATCACAAGGGCTATTAAACCTTAAGCAACACCACCATTAAGTCAATATGGAGGAGGAGGCCGTGAAGGAGACAGAGAAGAATAGATTCAACAACAATAAAATAATCAAACGTGTCTCTAAAAAAAAAAAATCTTTTCATTCCTTTTAATACTCTACTGAACAGATTATGAGATTGTATCTGATAAGATTGTAAACCTTGATCATCAAACTATATCGTCAGACACCACCTTTAATGTGTTCTGTGGGCTTGGCTCAGGAGATAAAATGCATAGTTTAGTTATAGTAAAAAGCAAAATGGCTGCCACTGAGGAAGAAAAAGGGCTACACTCATTCACAATAGCTAATGCAGTACTCGGGCTGCAGAGTTCAATGAATGTTACATCACGATGTTGACCTCCTACAAGCGAACATGATGGACTGAGACGTTTAAAATGTTTTTCTCACAAAAACATCTGCTAACATAAAACAGCCCATGAAAATAAAATCACTTGAATGTCAACTTAAGAGCCTTATTTTACTTTTCTCTGAGCCGTTTTTTGGTGTATGAACGTCAACTACTTAGCAGCATGTAAGGCTGGTTAATACAGTTATGAAAAGAAAAAAAGTCACTGGGGAGACCAAATCACGCGCTGGTGCAACCAACTATGAATGTTGTTAGCAGCATATAGGAAGAAAGGTTAGTCAGGAGCCCAGCCATGGCCACCGGTAGGTGTTCTGATGATGGCCCCTTTATCTGCCAACGTTCTGAACCTGTGAGGTTCCTGCTTTTGTGAAAACATGCGGCACAAATCACCTGCACCAACAGCTGACAGTAAATTTTTTGTCCAGTTCCACTGATGGTGTTAAGGAATTTTAAGGAATCCATCCATCCATCATCTATACACCGCTTAATCCTCACTAGGGTAATGGGGGGCTGGAGTCTATCCCAGCTGACTCAGGGTGAAGGCAGGTTCACCTGGACAGGTAACCAGTCTGTCACAGGGCTACACTTAGAGACAGACAACCAAGCACACTCACCGAGCCACTTTGCAGCCCTTAAGGAATCCATCTTGTAAATTAACTACATTAAGTGTTAAAATGTCAGTGATGGAGAAAATACTCACATCCTCGGCTCAAGTAAAACTACTGATACCACAACGGAAAAGTCAGCGCATTAAAAATGTTACTTAAAGTAAATGTACGTCAGTATAATCAGGAAAACGAAATGTGGTGAAAGTGAAAGTACTCAGAAAAAGGTTTAATAGGGTGGTTATGCTTGAATATGATCATGTTATAGTATAACCATCATATTAAATATATTTGGGAACAACTAGGAATGCATTCATTATTGGTGAGTATTATTCTAAACTTTTATTTTCTGTTTTCAGTTAACAGACTTGAAATTGTAAAGCAGAGTCAGTAATAAAGATGTGCTGTAACTTCGTCAAACAAACTGTGTATTAAGGGCACTCTGTGATGTTTTTAGATGTAAAGTCTCCCCGAAATCACTTCACCCAACAAGTATCACTGCGTGTCGTCCCTTCATGTGATAGTTCAGTTCAGGCTTGTGCAGTGTTGACAGCTACATGGGAATGTTAGTACGCTGGACCTGGCACAGCTCTTATGAAACCTGACCAGGGTGTCATATAGACATGAAGCAGACACATTAAATTGCTGTCAGATAAGCGGGTCCATGTCTGAAAGGAGCTTTAGTCTGGAGCCTCGCGTACTTGCTAGCTGCTTGCTGCTCATCATTATTTCCAATACAGTTACTGCAACAGCTTGTTAGACAGCAATTCAATGTAGCACACACAGCTGATCCTGGGGCATCCGCTCAGTTTCACATTAGTGCAGTCCAGACCAAATCTGACCAGTTCTACATCAAAACCCACTCACATTAGATCTGCAACACGGGACAAGCAGCTAGTTGACTGTACGGTTGATCAGCTGCAGGGTTGATTAATTAATCTGCAGCTTCACGGTGACAGCGTCCACCGCCTCCTGAACGGCGAAGGCCATTACTCAGCGATGACCTTTCACACAGTTTGAAGGTAGCGCTGCACGTCGCAAACTAAACGTCGTTATAAAAGAATTACAATCTACTACAATGATTACTGCACATATCAACGACACATTCATCTAAATTCTCGTACATTATCGTTGACTTTAACAGTTGAACAAGCTAGCCTGTGTTACGACTGTCACATTAAGTAGCACAACGCTGTATTCCGGGCTAATTCTTTCTATGATAGTCAAACGTCCGTCTGTCCTGGTGTTAGTTTAGTTATTTATGTTCTAACTTTGCTATTCCTGCTTGACATGGTAACGCCCCAACTCCATACAAGCTAGTGCTAAATTACAAGCTAACTAGCCTCACATCTAAGTTAACTTAGGTTAGCCGCTAACGCTAGCTGCTGCACTAGCTTGCCGAATAAGTGTCTCGGTTACGGTTTAGTGACTCACCGTGGTTGGGAGTCGTTCCTCACAAACAACCCTCTTGCATCCTGGCTCCTCGGCTTCTGAAATCTCTACAAGCTAACCAGCTGCTAATGTTACTACGCGACTGGCTGTTAGTTGGAGTTAGCTATCTCTGCTAAGTGAAGGGGAGAGCTTCTTCTTCTTCTACTACTTCTTCTTCTGCTGCTGCCACTGCTTCTTCTTCTTCTCTTGTTTTGGGTACGATTGGCAGTTGGCAACCCAGATTAATGACACAATGCTGCCACCTACCGGACTGGAGGGTGCACAGCGGAATGGCGGAATTGCAATACAGTGCAATAGAAATTGCAACGAAATTAGTCCATAATCTCTTAGTGCATGATAAATAAATAAATAAATAAATACAAAATGCATAAAGTAGGTAGTAGGAATTGCTACTAGGTGCTGAGATCCAGGCGGTTGTAAGTGTTTGACAGGGTTCAGTTCTCTTATGGCTCTGAGGTTGTCTGTGATTTGATGGACCTGAAGCGTTTACCTGAGGACAGTGGGTCAAACAGATGGTGTCCAAGATGGGATTGGTCCTCAACAATGTTTGCTGCTTCACCGAGGTAGTGAGAGCTGAATAAGTCCTCCACAAAGAAGGCAGTGAACAGCCAATGATCTTCTAGGTGGTGTTGATGATCCTCTGGTGATGTCCACCGCTGAGCAGCTGGAGAACTAGTGATACAGAACACCAGCAGGCTCTCGACAGAGCAGTGGTGAAAGGACATTAGCAGCTTTTCCTGCAGGTTTTTTCTTTTTCTGAGGATTCTCAGGAGTTGCTCTGGCCAAGAGTGTGCAAAAGGAGGCTACTTTGAAGAATCTTAAATACAAAACATATTCTGGTTTAACACTTACTTTGTTTACTACATAATTCCATGTGTGTTCCATTATAGTTTTGATGTCGTCACTATTAATCTACAATGTAAAAAATAATTCAAATAAACTAGGTGTGTCCAGTATTATATATTAATTATAACATGGTTGATAAAACAAACAGGTTCAGTCCTTTGCTTGTCCAACGTGTCCACAGACGGCTTTTAGGACCTTCATCCTGGACTGGCCACAAGAAAGTTCATGTTTATGACACACTGGATGCTTCGTAAATATTATTTATGTCCAATCTATGGTTGTATTAAGAAAATGACATATAGTGTTGTCTTTTCATGCTTTTATAACTGAATTGTGATTGTTTTTCTCCTGAATTGTGTATATTATAGACATTACACATACTGTATATACACAGGACCTGACATTTTGTGAGGATGAAGTAATAGTGAAAGGCCAAGCCCCTCCATGAGAGGTAGCTGCACCAGTGTTTGGAAAAGGCCGGTCTGAAAGATGTCACCGAGGCCCTGATCATGGTGCCACCAGAACTCCACAGAGACAGAGGACTACCACAGCAGACAGGACCCAAGGTGCAGGCTGTGCAGTGACGCCCCTGAGAAGGTCCAAGACATTATGGCAGGGAGGAAAATCCAAGTTGGGACTTCACCAAAGGTTGCCAACGTGCTTCACTCTCGTGCACAACAGTCGGTTAAGGTGTTTGGTGAACGGCAGCACTCCATCCAGCTCAGCGGCTTCACTCAAGAAAAACACAGACACTGTAAATCTAAAGATTTATTTTGTATTACTTTTATGTTCAGACAATTAGAAAATGACAAATCTTTGCACTTTTCACTGTCTTCTAGTCTATTAAGTGGTAATACAAACACCTAAAGCAAAACTTATCTAAGTTAAAGGTGGTGAAACCTGCATCGCGGCGGTTCTCAGAGCCCGCCTCAATGCAGGCGACACAACAGGGACCGAACAATCATTTAGTGAAATGAAATGTCATGTTCTCTGCCCTGCTCCGCTTCTCTACGTTCAGTCTGGAATGCTTCACCTCGTGTTGTCCAAACCACAAACATCCAGGGGGGGATCTCACATGCACCAGTCTGGGGTAAAGTTTGCTGACCGCGTCTGAATTACTCAAAAATATGCACCATGCAAATTCTGACAAGTGCTTCACTAAACTTAACCTCAATGACAAAACCGGTTATTTGTCACTTACTTCCTGTATGATAATCCTATTATCCTATTAGCGCCTCCAACAGCCTTTTGCAACCACTGCAAATAATTACACAAAAAAAAAAAATCATCACTGTTTAAGTGTTTGTTTCTTTCCTTGATAAAGCACGAACGTCAATTTGGAACATCCAGTAATGACGGCGTTTTCAGGTGAAGTGCTCACAACAACTACCAAAGAGCTGTCTGCACATCCTCGCAAGCAACCGTAGAGCTCCTTCAGACAGAGGCCAGATTCATAAACAGGGTAAACATTCCAGACGGACGATGCAGAGAAGCAGTACTGTAACAGAACAAATGCAGTGTGAACAAATAGGCAATGTGGTACTCGCTGCAGTACACATCAATATACTGTGAGCTAACCTCAGTTTAAACAAAAAGAAAACAAAAAAAAGAAAACAAAAAAAGCCTACGGAGCTACAAAGTACATGTGCTTGTTCTGATAAAAATAAAACTCTACACAGACACTTTCTCTGCAGTTAGATGGACAGTCTCCTGTCTCTTCTGAGGTAGTAAATAAGTAGAAATATAATTAAAGACGAGTATAGAGAACGACGACTCCAGAACACACCGCTAGAATTTTAAAAAAAAAAAAAAAAAAAAAAAAAAAAAGGTGTATCCAGTCCTTCAAAGTTGAATTTTGAACATGTCCCCATCTTCAGTGGTAAAATGGCCTAAACTGTTAGAGGTTAAAACTAGCTCTAATGATTTTTTTTTTTTTTTACAGAAAGATATATGACAACGTAGAGGTAGAAAGTTTGAATTATGTCAACGTCTGCCACTAGATAAAGAGTTTAGATCCATAAAATCTACCTTTATAGTTTCAATCTAATGGCACAAGTAAGAGCCAAAAATAACTAGAACACAAATAACAAAAAAGAAACCCACAGTTCTGTGTGTTTGAGGTACAGATCAAATTCATCCTTTTTTCTTTTTTTGTTTTTTTTTTCCAGAAATGTCATAAGTGCTTAAACCCAGTCAAGAGATTAGACACTCTTAGAGAGGCACAACAGTAGCATTTTAAGACGTCGGTGCAACACTTTGAAGCTTAACACAATGCTAATGAGAGTCCTTCAGCAGAGTCCATGGAATTAAGGCAGGAGAGAGCGCCGTGCGACCATCTCTCTTTCGAAATGTCTTCTTTCCAATATCGATCACTTGCAACACGCAGCTGGATGACTCCGCTACTTCTAAAACACTTGACCAACTTCATACTGGAAGGCGGTTGGGTAGAATCCATTATTCTCGCCATGCTGCATTGTGACCCCTAAAAAAAACAAACACCTTGGATCTAAACAGACCAACTGCCTCAGCAGCAGCGATGGGGGCCAGGACAGGAGGGGATGGGGGAGAATGTCTTTTAGTCCGAATTACATCAGGGAACGTGGGCGTCGTTACCAACGGCGACACAGCAAAAAGGTAGGAAACGGGTACAAGTGCTCTGAAAGGCCATCTATGCTGCGTTCTATTCAAAGATAAACTCAGAAATTCACAGAAAAACAGGTCACAACCTGCCCAGATCCAGTGGTCCAGTTTAAGAAAAAGAAAAAAAAAAACAACAAACAATAAAGTAACTGGGAGCGCTTTGCAACTTCTTTTTGTTTACACCACAATGCTAATCCCACGACTGTGTGGCTAGGGCTGCCATCTTCCACTACGCTAGGCATGGAAACGGGGGAGGAAGAGCTTGATGTCCTCTACTTCAGATAAAAATATAGACACATTATTATACTTCAATGTGCTGGAACGAGTAATCCATCTGCATCACATGCAGGAGGAACTCTTTACACAAGGCGACGTGCAGACACACGCCGTCTGCTGTTTGGCACAACTGGCTGTCCGAAAGAAAGAATAGGTTCACATTTTCTCCATCTTCATTCGTCAAACAATTTTGAGTTTTTGTGGGAACAAAAGTTTACATACAGTTGTAAAGGCCACGTATATCATGGTAGTCTGTCCAATGTCTCATAACTGATACATATTGTATGATGACACAAGAAAACAATCATGCATTTAAATTTGGCTCAGAGAAGTCATGAGCTATAGTCAATCGGAAGTACGTAAAAAGGCCACAAAGAAAATTACATTTAGATTATGTATGTGTATTTTTAACCCAGTGGAATTTGTTATATTTCCATAAGACCTATAATAAATCTACAGAAGAACCACAATGCACACTTAATTTCTGTGACAACAAAGCATATCTGGTAGTGACTCCATCAGAGAAATTAAGAGTTGCAGAAGTCAAGGCTACAGAGACTCAACAGCCATGATATACAGGACTTTACAAGTGTGTATGAGCAGGTTTCTCTCGCTGTGATGATGCATCCTGTTCATGGTGCCCCTTAAAAAACACCACAGTAAGTTTATATTAAAAAGAGTAACATAGGAAGATTGATTCAATTCATTACCTTCCCAGACCCGAGAAAATGTGAACCTAAACTTCGAGGGAGATTTTCTAGAAATTGCCCATGAGAGCGGAAACGTTTAATCCGCTGAGAGGACTGTCAAACCTCAGCTGGAGATTTAACAGAGAATCACTTAAATTTTCCATTTTTATCAGGTCCTGATCCACAGCTATCGTTCAAGTGTCACAGTTCTGGATGGCCGCATCGTGAAACACATTTAGTCCCTCAGCAGGTCGTAGCAACGACAATATGTGACTTGCTTTTGGTGCATTTCGCCCACCGAACCCTCTCCCCCTCCTTAGAAGAAGTGATTTGAAAGAATTTCCAGCATCACCCTACAAAACGTCTCTGGGGTCCGTTTCTATCAGATCAGACTTGTGCCAGTGTGATCAAGCAAAACTTCTTAAATATTAAACAAAAGGAAGAATTAGAGGGAAAATAAACAAGTTATTTGTATAAACTATTACCTGCTTTTAGTACTTTTTTTGATAATATGACCTCTTGTTTCTCACTGGTCAGACGTTTACCATCAGCGTTTTTACTTTCTTTTAAATTCTCATTTGATATTTAAAGAGTTTTGTATCACAACACCGGCATAAATCCGACTTAAGGGGTTTACAACAGCACTGTTCTGATGCTTCATTCAGACAAAGAGATGCACGACACACAATTATTTCAAATGTCATAGTTAATACATCAAATGGAGTCCATGGAAATGTCCTTTAAGCAGCATTTCTCGGTCTGAGAAGCACCTGTTTTGTCAAATGTTCTGGCCCTAAATGTTACAAAAAGGGGTTTATTAAAAGGTTTTTACTAATAAACAACGATGGAACAGCAGTTTAGTTGTCTGGCATGATTTCACCAGCGACAGAAATTAAACATAAGTGCATTTTAACCAAATAATCTATATAATATAGGAAGAAAAGAAAAACAATGTAGTGTGGGTGTCACAACAGTCATGTAACCTTAGATAAATGCATCTAATAATCCTTGGGCTTCCAGTGTGGACTGTGTCCTGAGGAGCTGTCGTTAAAAAATTTTTTCCCATAAAGACGCTAATCTTACACCAATGCTGTTGCAATTCAATTCCAGTCGCAGCGTGCGTGTGGCATCTTTGATTTCCTAGTTGTTAATTCTTTAATAGATTTACGTAGTGCTGTCTAGCTTCGCCTTTATTATTACCTGTCACTGTTGACTGCACTCACACTTACAAACAGACTAACACAGCCTATTCTGAACTCTACAGAAAGCGGCAAAAATCAACAAAACTTTAAATAATGATTAATGATAAAAATATCTCACACCTACATCTGCTTGTCCACGTCAGCTAATGCAATGTTGGATGACCGGATGGGAGGTTCTGTTTGTAAGCTTGTTGTTCTAATGTCACATACAGACAGTTTTATTCGGGTATTATTTTTGCACTAATGCTTTTATTTTTAATGAAAAATATCTCACGTCCACTTCAGTCGTGGAGGTGAGCTCTTCTCAGAGATGATACGTTACAGGGTGAGATATGCCCAAACGTCGCAGCATTCTGCACGATACCTGACGACTTCCAGCACTGTGAAACACCGGTGACTAACGCCAAGCGCGTCCGCTGTAACAGGTTTGACGAAAAGAAGTAGAACTCTATTTTGGTTGTAGTAAGATCAACTACGTTTCCTCAGACATTCAAGCTTTTTAAATAATGAGGTAATACTGATGAGGTGATTTGTTGTGTTCAGCAATAACAACTAAGATTTGCATTATTAAAACTGAAAGGCTAAACTTACACATTTGTTTTACAATAAAGATGCCATTCTCACGTTTTACCCTTTCCACGAGAAAATCCATTAAGGCAATGTTTGTTGGGACAGAGCTGCTTACTGCTGAAAGGCCTGGTAGTAGTGAGGTAGAGAGCTGGAGGTGCTCATAGCAGGACTGCTGTATGTTTGAGGTAGCTGGCTGTGGTTGTGGGCTCCTGGGCCCTGTGGTACGTGAGCCTGGGGATGCTGGAAGAAGGTGAAAGGCCCTGGCGCCTGGGAGGACAGCCCAGTGGAAGAGGACGGGGAGGAGGTGGTGGTGGTAGCAGGCGGATAGCTCATCACTAGCCCTCCCATTCCCATGTGAGGGCTGTAAGGCGGCAAGCTGAAAGGCAAGAAGCTCAGCAGAGGCCCGAGGTCCATGTTAGTGGTGCAGGACAGCTCAGACGAGGAGATAGCAGGGCTCCTGGACAGCAGGTGGGGGTCGCCACCAGCGCTTACTCCTTCGCCCAGAACCTCCCTCTGTGGGGAGGCAGAAGTAGAGGTAGAGGGGTTGACTGCACTCAGGTGAGGTGGGGGGGCACTCTGCAGGTCCAGCAAGAAACTGTCCACGTCAGCACGAGGATATGAGGTAGATCCGTGCTGGTACCGAGACATGTTGCTGTAGGGCTGCTGCTGTGGAGCTGCCGGGGGCTGAAGGTGATGGTGATGGGGGTGAGAAGACTGGGGGGACATGTGGCGACCTACACCCATGCCCGAGGACAAAGAACCCTGCATGAGGCCATGGGAGTGGCCCATTCCAGGAACAGGATTGGCCATGGGATAGGAAGGGTACATGTCCCTGGAGAAAGTCTCCATGGGCTCCTTGGAGACAGAGCCCATATCAGAGGCCACAGGGCTGGGCTCCTCTTTCACAGGGCACTGAGTGGCAGGGCTCGGTGCAGCCACAGGAGTGCTGGGAGTACAGGGCGGCATCAACCCTGACTCTTGGGCATGGCTCTTCTTCAAGTGACGAGTCAGGTGGTCTCTGCGGCCAAAGCGTTGTGCACAGCGCGGGCACAGGAAGTCACGGCGCCCAGTGTGCACTACAGCGTGACGCCGTACATCCTTTCGAGTGTAAAAACGGCGGTCGCATCTCTCACACGAGTACTTCCTCTCTCTCACTGGCACAGCAACATTGGTGTTGCCCTCTGATGGTGGAGGCCGGTCAATATGGCCGCCTAGCTGCTCCAGCAGGGAAGGGGCCCCCTCTGGGCAGGGCAAGTTTGCTGCGGCGCTGTGAGCTGCCACCAGGTGGCGTCTGTAGCCCAGCTGGGTGTTGTACTGCTTTCCACACTCCTGGCAGTGGAAAAGCTGCCTGCTGGCTGGGTCGCTCTCCTGCAGCTGGTTTTTCAGATGGCTCTGCTGGTGGAACATGGTCTAAAGCACAATGTTGGCTCTGTTGCTGCACAGGGACTCTGTCCAAGAGCCTGAGCAGACATAGACAAGACTCATGGGGAGAGTTGACCATCAGCCTGCAGACCTCTTGCCGATTTGTTAACTTAGAGTGCAGAATTAATGCCAAGTGCTGTTTGTTGACTGTGTGATGGTCCCTTGCAGTAATGACTACTGATCTGTCCTGCCTTACTGGGGCAAGCCTGTGTCCAGCACTTAGTTTCTGTGACAGCAGCTGCCATAGCAACCCCAAAAGGGCCGCTGTAATGAGAAACTTTGGAAGCTCTGACTGGATCTATGTGTGTCCTGAGATTGGTTTTTATTTCGGCTTGCAGTGTATTTTAGTATTCAGCAGCCACTGAATGCCACAGTCCCAGCAGTTGAATCACAGAGGCAGGTCAACATCTTTACAGGCCTGCAAAACAGAAAACAAACAGAAAACAGGGAAAACAGTGTTAGCGTCGTGCAAATGATATCGCTTGTGCTGAACAGTGTGGTGCAGAAAGAACCATGCCTAGAGGGTTGAATTTAAATAAACAAAACATAAACCACACGACGGAAAATCATCCATCAATTCAATGTGGCTCAATGACAACACCTCACTTTTAATGAACCGTCCACTACTCTCATTCAACTAATCATGGCTTTAAACTTGCATTTCCTAATATTACCGATATCGACACCAGCATTCTGCTTCGGCCTGGGTGATCAAACAATAGCAGTTCTGATTGATAGAAAAAAGAAAATGTTCAACAAAATCTTTCACTAACTCGGCCATCCCAAAAAATTAGCACATTGTGAAAAAATTTAATATTTTTCATCAGTTATTCAAGAATAAGAGACAATAAGACAATATTTCAAGCTTTTGTGGTAATTTTTTTGTTTTTTTTGCCCTCTCAAGTCCACATCTTAAAACATTATTAATATTGTTTTCTAGACTCGGGGTCATTTGTGGCTGCCTTCTAACATCGCCGCTAGCCGTTAGCGTAGCCTTAACCACTGTGAGAGAAGCTAATTTCCTGTTTTGTGGTAACGGCTTGTGTTTCTCGTTCAGTTTTTGCACTCTCTGCTCAAGAGACATTTCTGAGAACACAGACGATGAAGTGGCACATTTAATTTATCGATAATGGGTTAGAAATACGGATAATCTGAAAAATTCCAAATGTCAGCCATGACAGTTGACCAGGTCGATAATCAGTCAATCGACACTTTCCATAAGGAGCCGCAGAAGGTCAATGCTGAAAAGGCTGGCTCTTGGCTGAGTGTTGTATCGATGCGTATTAAAGGAAGAAGTGGACTGATGTTGGTGTCAGTGGATCAAGAGCCACTAAACACAGACGTCTTCAGAAAAGACGCTAACACTGTCACTCCTGATATCAAGACACTCCTGAAGCAGAGACACCGTCAGAAGTGTCCTCCCTGGGCTAAGTCAGTGCCACATCATCTGCTGGTGTTGCTTTGCTGTGTTCTGTCGAAATCAAAGTCAACGCAGCGTCTACCAGGAGATGTTAGAGCACTTCATGCTTCCATCTGCTGGCAAGCTTTATGGCGACGTCAGCTTCCTTTTCCAGCAGACAAAAATACGATCAAATGGTTTGGTGAGCACCATAACTGTGCTTGATTGGCCAGCAAACTCACCTGACCTGAACTCTATAGAGAATTTATGAACTATTGTCAAGAAGGATGAGAAACACTCAAACCAAACATACAGATAAGCTGACGAGAAACTGATTGTATCACCTTAACCGCCACAAAACAGCGATATGACAGATACTGGGGGTGCAATTTAAAAAACAAACCAATTAAGGATGTATGATGATATCTGTGTCAGTATGAGCCAATAAAAGCTATAAATTTAAACACTGGCATCAGCCCAGAATGAACACCGGCAGCATGCAGATGATGCTGCTAATGCTACATACACACATTTTCCATAAATTACCTTTGAGCACAGAGTGTGTCGGCCAAAAACTCTGACTGACTTTCGTTATATCTGAGCTCTTAAGTGTCGAGTGAAAACCAGAAATGGAGGGTCTCTCTGACTTGCAAATACATCAGGGAGTTCAAATCAAGATTGCACTTAACACGGTAAAAGAACTTTGTCAATTCAGCTTATTTTGCAGGAGCAGGACCCTGATTGTCAGGGACTCCTCACACCGTCTCCATAAACTGTTTGAACTGCTGCCATCAGGCAAACGTTTCTGGAGCGTTGAAGGAAGAACCTCCAGACTGATCAACAGCTTCATGCCACCAGCTGTCAGAATGCTGAACTGCTGATCCAGAGATGAAAACACTTGTTTATTTAAATTGCTTTAAGTTATTGGATCCTGAAGAAACGCTCTCTCATCCTGCCTGTACTACTGTGTATGTACAGCAACATGACAATAAACTTGATTTGATTTATAGTTTTAAAACTGTTTTGTTTGTTTGAGGCTCTAATCCTGAGCCTTCCTGTCTGCTCCTCTCTCTGCAACCAAACTGCAAAAAGGTAGATTTTTAAATGAGCTAGTTAGAAGTTTCGAATCTTTACATCAAAGCAAAATTTGATTAATGGTTGAGCCAGTGCTGTACCTAAATGTAGGGGTGAAATCAGGTGTGCCACCACCTGATCTACTACTGAACAAGTGAGTTAGAGCTCTGATTAGGAGATAAGTATGCTGTTAAGGGGGGAAAAAATGTGAATTGTTGACAAAGTGGTTTTGTAGTTATATTCAATTCAAGGCCAGAACTTGCCAGGCTTCAAAACTAATTAGAACATGTAGTGTGAGCTAACACATCAGTCAAGACTAAAACTGAATAAATCAGTGTCTTCCCAGCTTTCAAGTTGCTACTAGGGACATAAAGACAACTTTCTTTTTCAACTTTCTTTGAGACAACTTTCCTAACCAATGGATGACCACATTTACAATTAATAATTGATAATTAAAATTAATTTGCATATATCCGTATGCTGTGACAGCCATTTCTAATCATGGGCACTTATTGATAACCATAAAATCAGCTCACCTGTATCACAGTAAACGCAAGATATTTTAAACTACATATCATATACAAACTAATAATTTTTACCCCTTGAACAGCGAGACAGTGTTTGGTACAATAAAAACTGGGGGTGTAAAGATGTGCGTACACTTATTTGTGCTGAAAATCCTCCATCTCCAATCTGTATAAATCATGTTCTTGAAAGGGCAACCACCTCAACAATCTTACTACAGACAGTCTAGAAGCACGTAAACATTTGAATCGCTGTACAGAAAGTGATGTTAGTGTGAAGTACCAAACCATGATTTTTATGAACTTTTATATCCCTAACAGCAGGACAATCAATGAAATCAACACCGTTATCCTATGACGAAACATTTCTATCCCGATGGGAGTGCAGGATAATAATGCCCCCATCCATGAATGGCTTGATGAACTTCAAAATGATCAACTCCAATAGGGACTAATACAGAATGTTCATGGCTGATGTTGATATCAATGATTGGTAATGGAAAAAGGCAAATGTCTGATATTTGACGTGTAGGGAACCTGTCATTCATTACAAGCCTTCTTCATTCATATTGATTACTATTGCTGACGTCTGAACATCACGTGACACGACAATGATCTTCTGTTTACTGTGAGATTGACTTATTGATACTCAACAGTTTGTCTCCTGCAGTTACGTCCACTGTTCTTCACTGTTCTGTTAATCGCTCACTGTTGTATTACCTCGTTATTGCCCACTCAGGTCCACATCTTATGACCTTATTTCCTGTTGTTTTAGAAACATTGTTCTCGGGTAAGCTGTGGCTACCTCCTAACTTAGCCGTTAGCATAGCCTTAGCCACTGTGAAAGCAGCGACTGTCCCATTTTGAATGAACAAATCTTTATTGTCATTACATAATTTTTTGCATAATGAAATTTCGTATAAATATTTGGGTTGGCCAGGAATCGAGCTCAGGTGAACTGCTTGGAAGGTAGCTAACCACTACACCGCTAACACAACGTGGTAATGCCGTGCTTCTTGTTCAGTTTTTGCAGGTTGTGTCTCTATAAATAGACGTGTCTGTCAGCTAGAGCAGGTTGTTAAGGTTAATCAGACTTTAGAAAGATGCTAAAGTCCTTCAGATAGCATTAGCCACAGGCTAAGGGGCACTGCAAACCTCTTAGCAATAGCTGAAAGCTAGCAGAGTCAGCAAAGTGAGCTCCAGCTGCACCACTCATTAACACCTACAAGTGAATTATCGGGGCCTTTTCTGTGTAACGGACACACGAGGCATGCTTGTGAGAGACAGTGTGTTTATTACAACTTCAACGGCGTCTGCTAACAAACACAGCTCCACTAATTCCCCAGAGCTGCTCCAGCCCAGCTTGTAGCCAGCGGCTCTCAGTGACTGGCTGTGATATGAAACAGTCGGTCAGATACGCCGTGGGCAGGACGATGCTCGAAGCCACAGAGTGACGACAGAGAGAGAAAGAGCCGAAGTAGCACGTTTAATCTGTCCTGCAATAATAGGTCAATAAAAATATTGACACCAATAATCGCAAAAGTGCCAAAAGTCTGCCTCAAATATCGGTACCTATTAGAGACCAACCCATGTAAAGATTTTTAAAATATTTTGGACAGATGAGACACCACCGTCATCAAAACACCAAATAAAAGAATATAATTTTTAAAATATGGTGTTTGTTTGACATAATCTTAAAACCGGTTTTCTTCACATTCTGGCTATAATTTTAATTTAGATGTTTTTTTAATGTTTTAACCTAAGAAACATGCATATTGCCCCTTTAAAACAACATCACATGACAGCTATTCATAAAGCAGAAAAAGAAAAGGAGAGACACATTAAAAAAAAGAGGTAGCACTTTTACAAAAGTTTTACTCTTCAAATAAACCTTACAAAAACTAATATCTTATAGTTGTGATTGAATTACTTTGTCTTTAGGGAGAACACTGAAGTGAACATGGACCACATGTCTCCTGAGGGCTGCTTCAAAATTATGTACAATTGCCCCAACCAAAGGCGGCCCGACCGCACCACCTCTGATAAACGGGTTTTGAAGGCCGGTATTAAAGTTACAGTCGGCAGCAATATAGAAAGGACATTTAAAAAGTGCCCATGTTTGAAAATATACAGCCCTCCACCTGCACCACCTCTTTCCTAAACTCCACCCATCAGATGACCACCTGCTTAAAACAGTCAAGCTAAAAGTCAACATTCATTCTTCTCCCAAGATTTGGGAACTGGGTGAAGGTACTCCATCTAACCCCTTTGCATCACTACATCCTGTTCTCACTGTGGACTCAGTGAAAAGTCCTGTGATTGGCTAAAGATTTCAGTCATGAGGTCAATTTTGTAAAGCCCGAAAACAGAGCCAACAAAAAAATCCCATCTGTCCTCATTTTAAATGGGTCACGGAGGTAAATTATGAAAGACTGTTGCATTGCCAAGCTCCATCGTTGTCGCCTGTCAGTACTGACGAAGCTAAAAAATAGATTTTGTATATATTACTGCTACATACATTTTACCTGGAACATTTAATCTCACCAAATCCATTTTTAAGACATTTATCTAAGCTGAATTTTCGCTATTGCTGCTAGCGGACAATTGGTCAGGATTAGGGATTGACACATCATCGGCCCAACTAATTATTGAGGTCGATACCTGACATTTTTGCGATTATTGGTATCATCAAACCATCCGTAATAAATTAAATGTGGCTCTCTTTCTCTGCGGTCACTATGTGGCGTCAAACAATGCCCTGCCTACGCAATATCTGATTGGCTGTTATATGTCACAACTAACGTTCACTTACTAAAACCTATTGTTTACACAGAGAGGCAGAGAGCATGTTTGCACAGCGGAGCAGCCCTGGTGGATTAGCGGCGTTGTGTTTGTAAGGTTAGGTAGCAGACACTGTTGAAGTTGTAATGAACACAACCATCTTACACAAGCACGCCTGTTACACAGAAAAGGCCACAATAATTCATTTGAAGGTGTTAACAAGTGGTGCAGCCGGAGCTCCCTTCGCTGGTGGTGTTAGGCTAACGCTATCACTCAAAGCGCTATAGCTCACTCCTATTTCTACTGTACATATTCCCATTATTAATGATGAAGCATAGTTATAAATGACAGGTTCCCTACTATCACATGTTGTTGTTATATAATATTTAAATCAGTAATCTTTATTCATTATGTAGTCTGGTTATGAATGACAGGTGGCGGCTATCACACATTATTAACATATAACATTTCCTTTAAATATTATTCAGTAATCCTTATTAATGAAATAGTCTAGCTACGAAGGGCAGCTTCCCTGCTATCACATGCTGGTACAGAAGAGTTTCTAAGCCCAAGATATCAGTAATCAGCCTTTCTCATTTACCAATAATCGATATCTAAAAAACCACATCGGTCGATCCCTCGTTAGGATGGTCAAAGTCACCAAAAGGCAGGTCTGCAATTAATTAGAAGCTGCTGTAACACAGGTGTCAGTCCCCACAGTGGTGGTATTAGACTCTGGGGCTGTTTTTGCAGCCTGTGAAGGAAGAGGAGGATCACCTCCACTTTCTCCAAGAAAACCCACAATTTCATTTAGCAGACGCTTTTATCCAAAGCGACGCACATCTGAGAGCAGATACAACACCAGCAAGGATCTAGTCGGGAGAAAACAATCTAGATAAGAGCCATCGAACAAACTCAAGTGTGATAGGGTGTTGATGCCGATAGCAGGCTGCAGGGAGGTAACAGGATTGTTGTTTGTTTGTTTGTTTTCAATCTGTCAAGTGCATCAAAAGTGGTAAAGAAATCAGGCTAGAATTAAGTTTCCCACTGGCCTGATTTAAACACCACTGAGGCTGACCTGTGGACGGTGCTGAAAACAAGTCTGTGTAGTTACACTGCATTAATTCTGTCAATAGTAGTCAAAAAAATACAACCAGAGGCTCACGGGCAGCTATGAAAAGTGGTGGAGAAAATGGCCAAGAGGCATTTGATCAAATATTGCTGTATGTATACTTTTGACCCAGTACATGTTGCCATATTTACAAAAGACTTACTATATATATCTATTAAAGAACCTAAATGCATCATTACTTTTTTGTGTGACAAAAACAAATATGCTGCAATGATTTGAAAATTAAGAAAAAATTAATGAGTCATTGTAAACTTAAGACTGCCTTTAGATAGATAGATAGATAGATAGATAGATAGATAGATAGATAGATAGATAGATAGATAGATAGGCTGGTGTCAGTACAACAGTTGTTTTCACTATCAACAGAGCACGCATGTGAATGAGCACCTTGACTTTCACTGGGTGCTGTTTGAACCTTTATTATTTAAACACACAATATCTATGGCACTATTTTTTTTAACCCTAAAAGCACATGTTTGGATTGCCATTACACAGCGGGTAGTAGGCAGTGTGGATCCAGAGAGCCGGACCACAGGACGGCTCTGTGATGGGAGCTCGTAGTGCCATCTTGTGGGTCCTCAGCATCGAGTTGCCATAAAAAAAATTATTGCACACAATTATTTCCAAGTTGAATATTTCCCAGTCTGTTTACCATCGCAACCCAACGACACACACTCGTTGTAACGCGGGCTACGTGTTGTACTGAGCGGGTAGAAGACGGTGGAAACTTGACCGAAATGACGACGTCTAAAACTGGTGGAAACTGGTGGGACGGGGTCATTACCAGACCGGGGCTACATTTGAATGCTAGCCTGCCTGCGTTCACGAAATTCGGCGGCGGAGGTGGTGGCGGTGGGGGGGGATTAGATTTAGTACTTGGAGGTCCGAGTGTGCGATACACGAGCCCCAACATGAAGGAAACACTCCTCCGTGAGCGTGGATGACGGTAGAGAGTGAACCGAGGCGGCGTACTGGTTAAAAAACAAAAGATGAGCGCTTCACTAAGTTGTGCCGGAGTTTTGTCTTGCGGGAGCTAACTAGTTCACCGAGCGGGGGGCTAAACTCCAGCTCGAGTCGTGCGGACAGGGACGCGGCGGTACTTACCGATTGTGCCTCGGTCCCGCGTTCCGTCCAGCCTCCGCACCGTCTCCACATCGACATTTTTGGAACAAGTTTTTAAAAAGATGTTTATTGGAGCTCGGGCCTGGACTGCTGGGCGCCGCGCTGGAAGCCATGCATTCTGGGAGAGTGACGTCACGCCCCGGGCTCAGAGGAACTCCAGCAGAAAGCAGATCCTCCACGCGCGCACACACACGCGCGCTCACACACTCACACACGCAGGTCAGTTAGTCATTAGTGGGCTTCCCTGTTAATTACTCGGACCTCTTTGTTTTATTCTAAATTTATTAGCAGCTATAATAAAGCATGCCCCAAGTAATGTGGGTTACAGTGGGGTGGGACATGCGCAGCAGCAAGTCAGCTACTGAAGTTTAGAATTAGAATAAAACTTTATTAAGACCTCAGGGAAATTGCTACACCAAAAAACAACACCAACATAAAATTAGCAATAAAACAACAGCATTCAAAATCAAATCAAATCCAAATTATTTTAAAAATGTATGTGTTGGAAACAGGAAAAATGGGCAGTGAAAGGATCTGAGTGATGTTGATGAGGACCAGACTGTGATGACTGGAGGTCAGACCATCTCTAAAAAAAGGAGATTTGTTCCCAGTATGCAGAGGCTATAGTATCTACTAAAAAGGACACCTAATGAACATCAACAGGGTGCCAGAGCCTCACTGATGTGCATGGAGGCAGGTCCATGTGGTCTGATCCCACAGAAAAACTTCTGTAGGGCAAACTACTGAAAACATAAATTTTTATTTATGATAAAAGAAAAAAATCAGAACACACAATGCACCGTGCAGTTGCCAAAGTAGATATTTACTGAATTACACTCAAAGTGTGTCGAAGTAGAATTGCATTCTCTGGGGGGGAAAAGAAAGTTTTAGCATTTTAAAATTTATCATATAATAAAGATGCAATCAAAATGTAATGAAATCATTTGTGAAGTATACTGAACAAAAATAGAACCACAGGTAATTTGTAATATTTTATTACATTTGATCTACTATTTTAAAAATACAGGAGTTGTCAACACGCCATCTCAGCAACAAAATGGTAAATGGTCTGCACTCATATAGCGCTCTTATCCATTCACACACACATTCAAAGCTGCCATGCAAGGTGCTGCCTGCCATCGGGAGCAACTTCAGGTTCAGTGTTTTGTCCAAGGACACTTCAACTGTGGAGGGGTGGGGGATGGAATCGCCAACCTTGTGACTGGAGGACAACCTGCTCTACCACCTGAGCCACAGCCGCCCAAAATGAAACAACAAAGTATGACTTTATTGGTAATAAAAATATGCAGATTGAGAGCTGTTTCCTAGACCAGAAATCAGCACATTGATACACACACCCACCTAGAGCATCACTAAGTGGATCGTCTGTTGCACCATGTTCACTGAAATTATTTCTGAGATGAGAAATGATGGAGCCGAGGACATTCAAGTCCCTGGCTATAGGCTGACATCCAGCATGCCAACAGCCTGTTTGTTTTTCTTTCTGTTGTCATTTGTGGCATCAAGTAATTTGGATAAAGCTGCATTTTATGGTGGCCTTTTACAGTCACAGGTCAAAGGAATGTCTGTTTGTTGGTCACACTGTCTGATCATTTTCTTCTTTAAAGACACATCTGACTGGTTTGTGGATTAACTCAGAGGTGGAGGATTTGTCACCAGTTGACTGGCTGGAGAACGTCTCCCTCTGCTAACCATAATAGAAATAAAGTTTCTAACATTTTCCCAAAGTGAGAAAAGAAGATCATTTGCAGACTGAATTTATAGATCCTTTCAGTGTATAATCTTGATTGTACTTTTTTTTTTTCAAACGTAATCTGGGCTGATTAGTTATTTATCTTTAGTAGATTCAAGATTCAAGGCCTTTACTGGTCCCAAACACAGTTATACATGGTATAATGCGCAGTGAAATGCTTTGAGTACCTGTTCCACACCAAAATAATATTAAGATGGATAAAAATAAATAACAAAACACACAATAAATAAATATATATACATGAGTATGAATATATATAACAAGAGAGCACGAGAGAGAGAGAAAGGGATAAAAAAAATAAGCAAAAATAAATAAATCAAATTTCCAAACAATGCAAAAGGAGATGGAATAAATAACGAAAAGAATAATACTATACATGTATATATACAAAGTGCAAAGTATTCTAATTACATGTAATCCATTACTACTGCCTGACATTTATGCGACTGTTACGTTGACACACACTACCCACCTGAACGTTGTCACAGACCACACACACTCCTTCATGATACCAGTATTCACTGATGGCGTTGTGACCTCTTGTAGCCAGATCATGCTCTCTGCCACACAGCAGACATCGTTCAGGGATCGTCTGAAGAACACGACAAAGAGTTCAAGGTGTTTGCTTTGCTTCCAAATTACCCCGGTCTCAATCTGATCAAGAATATGTGGAAGAATATGCTGGAAAACTCTGATCCACGGAGGCCCCCATCCCACTGCACTGCAAAGTCTCAGTGCCTGATACCACAGGACGCCGTGTGCAGTCCACACCTTGAAGCGTCAGGACCGTTTAGGTGGAAACTTGCTCAATATTAGGCAGTTGGTTTCAGTATTGTGGCTGAGTAGAGTATGCAATGTTGTCTCATGCTGCAAAACACTACTGCATGTACTCTGAAGCACTAAAATAAAATAAAAACAACAACCCTGGTGTCTGTTTCTGAACATTTTTGCACAAAACTTAGGCACACATCGAGGTCTAGATGACATGTAAATACTTCACGCATCGTCACAATTCTGTTAAATGACATTTTTAAATAGATAATCTAAAAAAAACATGTGTAAACGTATTGTTTGAGTACATATGCTTGCTGATATACTCGGTGTTTATTCAGAATATTAAGAATACCATAATATTCTACATACTGTGGCTCCTATGTGTGTTAATTTGCCCTATATTATATTTACCTGTGTTGCCTATTATTGCAAAAACTTCAAAAAATATAAAAGCAGATTTAAATATGTGAAAAGCACATGATAGCTGATTTGGTTAATTGGCCTCATTTGGGTGTTAGTTTGTGTACTTTTATAAATTACTGTGTTCTGAAAGAGGGAATGAACCCATATATAAATATATTATGTGCATGTTGGGGAACAGAACACTCGATCTTAATTGCGTAATTCTCATAAATCGGACATGATGTGCGCGGAGCATGTGTTTAAACGTGGCCCACTGTTCGCAGGTGGAGGGCTGGACGTGTTTGTTGCATTCCTGCGGAGGGTTTGACCTTTGACCTGGTTGATGCATTCCAGAGAGGCTTGTCCTGCAGCAGCATCACAGCCAGCTCCTGCGCTCACCGCTCCTGTGCTTCGGAGAGGCGATGTGTGTTGAGTTAGTTTAGGAACGGCACCGGACACAGTAGCGACCGTTACAGGAGACTCGCAGAGGACCGCAGCATTGTCGCGAGCCGAGCGGACCGTCTTGTGTTGGCTCTAGAACGTAGTTAGCCATTTTGCTAAACAGCTAAACCGCCATCGTATTGAGGTTGCTTTGTAGACACACGGCAGGCTAGCCGCAGACACCAGCGCAGAGGAAATGAAGGACAAACAAAAGAGAAAGAAGGAGCGGACCTGGGCTGAGGCGGCTCGCATGGTAAACATTCTATTTTAGCATTGATTAGCTTCGTGTAGTTTTTGTGTGGCTTAATGTGAACTGATGGATCCAGATGTGTTGTGTTTGGACATTCTCCTCACGACCACAGCCTGGGCTCTGCTGTACTATCAGAGAGCTATAAGCATAGCAGTGTTAACGTAGCCAACAGGCATGTTAACGCGGCTACGTCCACGCACTTGGTACCAGTGTGACCGAGAGGACACATTTTACATGTGTTTCATATCTGTCTTGCTGTTGACATAAAAAGCTACGTAACGTAGCATGCTAGCGTTGGCTAGCACGCTAACATACACCTCTGTTGTTTTGAGCTCTTTGTTTGCTAGGCAGCTAGCTATCTAGCTTAACGCTTATTACCATCCGACAAACCTGAGTAATCCTGAAGATACGGCAACGCTGTGACAGGTTTATGCACTTGGTGTACACGGTAGTCAGTAAACACGACCCGGTTTAACGTTAATTTAACGCCCACATTGGTAGTACAAGTAGCTAATGTTGTTGAACAGAATGCATGCTAACGTTAGCATAGCTGAAGTTAACCACTAGCCTAGCTGTGGTGGGAGTCACAGAATCTCATTGACAGAATAAAAGTGGAAGAAGTCGTTGTAAAGTTCATCAATACGACATGGCTTTGTCAGAAGGTCAACGAGAATCACAGCTATTGTGTGGAAAAGATGCGGAACAGTTGCAAGGAAAACGTGAAAGACTGGCGAGCTGGTTGGGGGAGGGGGAGGTCATAGCAAATGAACTACATTTAATTATAATGCACACTGACGATTAGCAATTAGCCATAAACTCTTGCTTTCTACTGTGAGAGCTAACATAACATGAGCTGCATTTCCAGCACCAGAAGGCTAGAAACCTTTTAAGGAACTCTGTGCCTTTTCACTACTTGGATTGAGGTCTAAATAAGATTCTCAGATGTTTTTTAACCCCCCCAAAAAAGTCCCTGCTTATGAGGGAGGCCTTCAGAGACTTTAGATGTGGTTAGCTGTGTGTGTGTTGGTATACTTTGCTGCTCTACTTCCTAATGCTGATATTGTGAAAAAAAAAACCATTAGGAAAACCGCAGAGGTTGCTGCACACAGCATGCTAACAAAGACACACTAACACACCCCTACATGTTGATAGGGCTGAATGGTAATGCTGGGAGCCCACCAACGTTACCAGCAGTGCCCAGCACACAATGAGCTATGGCTAAGTTAGGTCAACAAGCCACGTTAGCCTTTGTGTGTGTGTACAACGCACCACATCAGTTTTGACATGTTAATATAAAGTTACAGCTGACATTCTTACCTTGAATTCTTTGCACAGATCCAAATGTTTGTCTTTGAGATGCTTAGATAAGGTTTAGGTGTTTCAAATGTTCATTCTGAATTTCGATCATCCATGACTTGTACCTGATCATTGACTCAAACATTAAATATCTCCATACAGGACTTTTTCAGGTGTCTTTTTCCCGCCCGGGTTGTTCCACCAGCATTTGCCAATACCATCTCAGAGGAGTCACGATCTCCAGTTAGCTAACTATGACAGACCTTCTGTAAAATAGAAATAAAGCACTGTGCTATCAACTTTGTCCCTATGCATAGGTTCTTGGGACTACCGTGCTGACAGTAAGTCCAGATCAAGGGGCACATAGGAAATAGAAAAAAGGTTGTTGGGTGTTAGCCAGTATGGGGAATTTAATGTTGACGACAAAAGAGGAGAGGACTGCTAGATGGTAGGATACCAACATAAATCATCATTGGTTACTCATGTCAGCGAGCTTTCTCTCTCCTCTTCTTCAGCTATCTACATATTCCCATTTCAAAATCCACTTCACTACAGGAAGTAACAAGAACCAATCTAACAATCTGAAAATTTACATTTTTAAAGCAGACATTTTTTTTTCCTGGCGGATTATTCATTTTAATGACAGCGCTCCCTCCAATCACTATTTTACAGGAACACTAAAGCCACACCCCTCACTTAGTTCTGCTCACTTTGATTGGTGCAAAGAAATATAAAAAAGCCAGAGCTTTTGTTCATACCTTTAGCAGAATAATAGTGAGTTACAGCTACACTGTGATGTAGTCCAGACTGACATCAAGATGACAGAAAATGGTGCTTGTTGTCCTGTTTCACCAATCAGCATTGATCTGAGAGTTTAAATAGTTATCGTTAATTTAATTATCTGCCTCTTATGTAGGTAATGGGGTTGTTGGTCTAGACTACATCATATTAAAATGTGTTTCCATACTTCTTCCTCTTACATGAATGTAAATATGATGGGAAAAACACTAGCAACATCACTGCAACCTACAATCCTACTGATAAACACGTAGCCAAGTTGACCTTTCTCTGAACATATTCGGGCTATAGTCAGCCAGAGGAAGTCTTTGTCAACTGCAATCATAACAACTCTTTAATCAGTCATGGAAGAAAAAAATCTGCCTGCTAGCTTTTGATTAAATTGAACCCAGCCCACTATTCAACCTGCTGTCCTTATTTTAATCAATGAATTAAAAACATAAATATACAACAATTAAACATCTAAATTCTCATTAATTGCTAATAGCTGCTGCTAAATCATTTGAACATAGTGATTTTATACTGAAATGACACCAGACTCGGAGCAGACCGGCGTTTTCTTGCCCATATTCGTTTGATTCCTGGAGCCAGACTTATATCACATGGGGATCCCAGGGCAGGACTATTGAGTACGACACAGACAGGATAGGTTTTAAACCATCCGCTTTAACGAAATGCAGCTAACAGCTCGTCATGGTGTCCGTTTGGAGTGAATGTTCAGTAAGCATAAATATTAAATAAGTTTGACTTTGGGTTGAGTGAGTTCAAAGTTGTTAAAATGAAAGGTGCTCTGTTCCTCCTACCACCAGAAATATAGACCCCAGCGGGCCATTGATGTAGTGCTTTATTCTTACCGTCTGTTCAGCTAATTATAAATAATACAGCTCTATGAAATGTCAGTCAAAAGTGAACATTAATATCCTTACCTTTGTATTCGAACAAGGCTGTAGTCAACGCATAAGCCAAGTCTCGAGTGTGTGTCGAGCCCCGACATCGACATACTTGAACATATCAGAAAAATTTCTTCATTTACAAATAATCTCGAGTCCTTCTCAGATATGAAGCGTATCACTTGGAGGAGAGCCTTTGGTTTGTTTTACCTTGTGGTGCCAAGAAAGTAAAGAACCTTTACAAAATGATTTAACGTAGGGTACATGCATAATGTCTTGTCTTTATAAGAAATTGCAGATTTATGTAATGGGTGATAATCTTGATAGTGACGCCCAGAACTTGTGCAATTTGTTTTAATTGACACGTGTGGACTGTAAGGCACGTCGGGATTTGTGTTTAGAAATTGTCGCTAAATTTCCTCGATCGCTCAATGACCGCGGGTTCCTCCAAGCAACTGATTGAGGATCTGAAATGAAACTAGCCAAAGCAGTGAAAGGCTTTGAAAAGACATCCAAGAGTTACCAGCTTGCAGATTCCACCGTCTGAAGCATCATGAGGCATAAAAGCACAGAGCGAAGCGAATGTCGGGAGATCTTAAATTTGTGATTTAGGAGTAATTTAAATCGGGATAATACTTGTTTTGCATTTGTGTTTTCATATTATTTGTCATGACCTTGTAAAAGCTCATCTTCACTCGGACATTCATTTTTTTTTGATGTAAATTCAACTGCAGCTCGACTGGTTGGCAGAGGCATAAAGCTACAAGGCTAACTCTAGTTTAATTCGAAAAATAACTTACAACATGCATTGCTTGGCATGATTTAAAAAAAGGCTTTGAAGCTCCTGACTGAGACTTCGACTGGCCTCTAAATATAGACCAGTTTTAGCTGATCATAGATGTACTGTAAGTCAGAATTCTCACCTTTCAAATATCGCTATTCATATCAGCCTAAAAAAAATCAGTATTGGATCAGCTTTCTGACATGCATCTTGTTATTGACGATCTACTTTAGAGATATTTTGTTTTTTCAAACAATCAGAATCAAAGTCTAGGTGCCACGATGCTCGCCATGTGCAGGACTCAAAATAATTTGTCAATGAGTCGTATTTTAAAATGCGTCTGAGGTGTTTTTGAGCTAGTTGAGTGTGTCGTCATTAGTAAAAATGTCGTTTCGAGTCTGTATTTATGTGAATTTGTGGTGTTGTTTTTAACTTTAACAAACCATCTTTTCCAGGTTTTGGAGAACTTCTCTGATGCACCCATGACTCCCAAACAAATCCTCCATGTCATCCAGACCAAGGGGCTGAAGGAGATGCGGTCAGACACGCACACACACACACACACACACACACACACACACACACACACACAGATACCATGACTGTTGATAAACCATCTCAAAATGTGTAACACGGAGTTTAAACTCAAGTGTAGCTGAATGATCACGAACTGTTTGATTGTTTGATGCTGTTTTACAATATTATGTTTTATTTTCTTTAAATGATCTTGTGGTCTCTTTTAACATGCAGTAAACTGATTACCTGTCATGTTAACTGTTATGTCATTCAGTGTGTCTATAATTGAGGTTTTTATTTCTCTCTTCATGGACAACTCGGGCTGCTGCTGACCTACACAGGAGGTAAGTTGAAGGACTACAGCCTTTCATTGCCTACACTAGAGAGAGATTGGAGGGGAAACACTGATGTCTTATTTGTTTATTTTTGTTCTTAACACTCTTATTTTTACCCTTAGCTTTAAAGAATTGATTTATTTGACAATTGGCTGGAGGTGTTGGCATTCCCTTCCACACTGACAGATAATAAGTTGTTTTAACAAGTTGCTTTGAATTAAGGAGCAGAATCACTTGTGCTGATTAACTGTGAACACGTTCATAGTTCCCCAATAACGGCAGGGAATAAACTTTCATATCAACTTTTCACAATAAGCCTTCATGTTGTCGAAAGTCAGCGTGGATGTCAGTTGGAACGACCCTAGTAAAATTTAATATGGACTGTAGTATCTGCCAAGAATCAGTAGCCATTAGAGTGAAGATGTGCGCATATACGTTGTCCGGTGTGTAAAATGGAGTCTTAAGCCTTGTACACATGGGAAGAGTAGAGCAGCAATGTGGTGGCCAGAGAGCAGGGAAGGTCAGCAACACGTAGCAGTGACAGGTGACATGAAGTGGCCCAAGTTAAACTAAGCTTGTTTCAGATTAACTGGTGATCAAATTAACTAGTGATGTTCAGTGAGCGAGGCAGCTGGACATGGATATAGACTTTATTAACGTTTGTCGGCGAGGTCTTCTTCATGTCGTATCTTTATCTTCACACACAGACAGGTCTGGTTGGGACGAACATTTGGAACGTAAATACAGCAAACATCTCCGGTTAACCTGGAACACCTTCTTTCTGTCGTGTGAAACTTTTGATGTTTGTGAATTTAAATAAGCCAGTGTAGCGCAACGTGATCTAAATCTGTTATCACACGGTTTAGTGGCCTTCATGTCAGAATAACGTACACACTGTGTTGGTCTCCTGTCTCCATTTCTGTCGTCCTAACATGTTTTAATCATAATCAGTAAGCGACCACAGCTCCAGCGGTTCCGACTGCGCTCACGTAGTTTCTTCCATGGAGCCCGACAGCAGTCTGACTTTTAGAATGAGAAGACTCTCATTTCCAGATATATATTTGTCAAGACCGAAAAGAAAAGTACAGCAGAAATCTCACTTTTAGAGACCAACTTGTCAGATTGTTTATTTCCTGGTCAGTCGGTGAGGGTTTCCTGAAAAGCCAAGCCTACGAAACATCACCAGTAAATCTGGAACAAGCTCAACCTGTGAGAGCGAAGAATACTGTGTACCACGAGAAAACAAACGCGCGCCCAAACATGTAACACAAGAAAACAAAATCCACAGCTTTGGTTCTGGTCTTTCCAACCACATCAAAAAGAAAGAGCAGCTCATCGTTGTAGTCTCCGACAGACCCTGAAAGCAAACTGCACTCATAACGCCCAGGTCTGCATTTGTTGTGTGGGATAGGTAAAGATGATATTGTGTACTTTTATTCACTTCAAATGAGGAACGATTAAAAGTTAATTTACAGATATCATAACTGATAAGGCAGATGATGAAGGATGTGCATGTTGGAAAATGCACCGCTGATAAGCTGCTGCAGTGGTGGTTGGGCCAAGAAGCCTCTCACTGTTGAATGACTGCAGCTCCTTTGCTGTTTTTAATACTGTAGTAATCGTACTTATAGAGCCAGGAATGTGTAGAAACAAACGGTACAGAGGATGCAGATCCAGTTACACCGTAGACATGAGCCAAAGCAGTGTAGGTAGATGTTCATTTGTAATAACACAAAAAGCCACAGCAAAAAAATGACTAATAGGGCAAATAATGCAGGATGGACACAGAAAGACAAACAACAGTGAAGATGAAACGAAAGGAAAAGCATTTGGATATTTGATTGAATACACGGATTGGAAATTGGTAGAAAGGTATGATGGTAGACTAAAATTTGAAAAGAAATCTTATGAAATATCAAGAAAATATAAACGAGGAAGCAGAAAGGTCTCGAAATTATATACATCTTTATTATGAATACAAATATATATATTAAAATAAAATACACTGAAAACAAACACTACAAATACTGGATGATGACAAATTTACAAATGAATTCTATAAAAAATGAAGAAGCTCCAAATCTCAGCAGCATAGAGTTATGGATTAGAAACTCAAACATATGCACAAACATGGCGGTCGTCTTTAATGACTGTTATTAATACAGAAGGAAAGGACGCCTCAACATGTTTCCAATACTAATTCAATCATTAATAGCATCAGTCAATCTTGGCAACAACAAAAACAGATTGAAAGCCGTTACTGTAGTAAAGTCTTATTTTATTTACTGTTAGTTTAGTCCTGCTTATGATGTGATACAATACCCAACGTGTGTGTGTGTGTTTGTGTGTGTGTGCAGTGGTACAGCTCCTTTGGCCTGTCTGGTCACCATGCTGCACTCCCAGGTGAGGGGGGATCGAGTCAAGAACAGCATCTTCTTCAAGCTTCCTGGACGAATGAGTCTGTTCACGCTCAAGGTACTC